CTGGGTGGGAGGTGGAGGGATGGTGCTGACTGAGGATGTGAGGGGGCTCTGATGCTGGCTGGGTGGGAGTTGGAGGAATGGCGCTGGCTCCAGGGGGGCGGGGGGGGGGGGAAGTAAGGCATGAAGAGGTAATAATGAGTTGTGGGGAAGGGGATGTTGGATTACTGAAGGAGGTCCAATGGCCTTCTCCTGATGACAATGGGAACATGGCTGGAGGAAAGTGCAGGTGGCTTCCATCCTCTAGCAGCTGTGCACCGCCACTCAAGTGTGTTATGCATGCTGGGCTGTAACAGAAGCAAGCGGAGAAGGTGGGTGCTAGCAGCCACTAGTTCGCTGCTTAAATTCCCTCCCTAGCCCCAACATTTCACTTGTGCTGGATGGCTGGATCATGGCTGGGTCATGGGGGGCCAGACCTAGTAGCCAGAGACAGAGCCCACTGTCACAACCTTGGGTGGGGAGGGAAGTTCCATAGCTTCCCCAGTAGGTGTTTCAGTGCAGCCAACTACCCCTACTTGAGCCTTCTTGGGTCTGCGTGCAACGTTCGCTGGCTCCTACAGTCAGCTGAGTTCTGAAGGGAAGGTAACTTTCTATTCTCACCAGTAAATGAGGGTGTCATGAAGGGTCAGTCAACAGATGCCAAGGATCAGGGGAAAATGTGGGACATGGATCTCACTGAATTGCATCATTTCTCTGTGTTCCTGAATAACAGCCTCCAGGAGGACAGTCTCCTCCTCAACTGGATCTAGGGCATGGTCTTGTGTAGCAGGAGGAGCTTTAGAGTCTGAGCTGTAGCTGCATCCATGAAATTGTCCACTGCTCCCAAATTGATGAGGGCCTGGTGGAGGGGAATCTGTCAGGGTCCCCCGGTATGCACAGCTTGATATGCACCTGCAAAGGGGAAGCCTGTGGATGGGGCTCAATGTGCAGCTCAGTGAGGACTAGGGTATAGGGAAGTTCTCTTCTTTCAAGGTCCATGCTGGCTCCCCACACCAGTCCTGGGTCGGCTTAGTTCCCAGGCTCTTTGGCATTCGTACTGGGCAGGCTGAGATGGCATGGCCAGTTTCACCACAGTAGAAGCCCAAGTGGTGCTGACGGTGTCGTTCCTTTTCTTCAGGTGTGAGTCGCTGGTCAGGCAGATTGGCTTGCATGGGTTCGGCGGGTGATACAGAAGCTGGGGTCATGGTCCATGGTAAGGGAGGTTGCAGGCAACCGCTTTCTCCTCCCTTTGTTCTCACAGCTGATTATCCATGCATATGGTAAGGTCCACAAAGGCATCTAGGCCTGCTGTCATCTCTACATGGACCAGTTCATCTTTGATTTCTTCCTGAAAGCTCCATCAGAACTGGTATGGCTGCGCTGCCTCGTTCCACTCCGTATGTGCTGTAGGGTGGCGGAAGAGCGCTGCATAGGAGGCCATCATGCCTGGCCTCTGCCAGAGCCCTCTCAGGGCTGCCTCGGCTGCTTGCGCTCAGTGCAGGTCATCGAAGATGGTCGACATCAACTGGAGAAAAGCATCCCAGTCCAACAGCACCGGGCTATGGTCTTCCAGCAAGGGGGAGGCCCAGTCTAATGCATCTCCTGTCAGCAGGCTGATTACCAGGGCTATGTTCGCCTGGTCAGAGGCACAGATTTGGGGATGCACCTGGAACAGAAGGTGGCATTGGTTCATGAAGCCCTGGAACTGCCACTGGTTCCTGTCAAGCCATTGTGGCAATGGTATTGCAGGCCCCTGTTCAGGGCCAGGCACTGCACACTGCATTGGCAGCACAGTATTCTCCACTCAGCTGCCTCACTTGCTCCTGCAGCTGCTAGTTGTCTGAGGTCATCTGCATAATTTGTGCCTTCAGTGCTTGATTATGCAGGGGAAGGGGGGACATTTGGGTGAGTCTGATGCTTCTAGTGTGGTCCGAACAGCCTGTCAGGGACAGGTTGTGGGCAACCAGACATAGTAGTCAGAGCTAGAGTGCAGTCACAAGATAGGAGTCAGCTGGGTCAGGACACCAGGAGGTTAGAATCACGAATCAGATGCCAGGAGTCACACTGGGTCAGGATGCCAGGAAATCAAGACAGGGGGCACACAGTCTAGAACAGGGTGGAGCCCAGTTCAGACAGCTTCCTGGTCCCGCTGCTGGCTTAAATAGGGACAATAGGCCAATCAGCTGCTCCAGGATTCCACCAATAGGACAATGGGGCAGAGCCTCAAACTGGGGCTGGGCTTCATGGGTCCCAGGTACGCAAGCATTAGCAGGCTATCTGGTGGAGGGTTGGCGCATGGCTGCTCCTGCAGACCCAGGTTTGAGACCCATGGGTCATGCAGCAGGGGGAGCTGGAGTTTGGAAGGCTGGGTTGACTAACTGTGCTCTCCCCCACCCCCCATGAGCAAACACTGTAATCATGTCATAAGCATTTGAGATGGGAAAGGACTCTTAGGTCCCATCCAGCCCATCCCTTGGGGCCAGCATCAGACTGAGTCCCACAATTCACTTTCTAGTATCTCCTGCAGGCCAGTTTTAAATGGCCCAAGCAGGGGACTCACACTGCTCCCATCCCTCCACCCAATACATCTCATGCTCAGGAAGCCTTTCCTGGGATTCACCTTACTGTTCCTCTTCCTCACTGTAGCTCCATCACTCTCAGTTCTATCCCTGGGTGTAACTAGGGCAATGCCTGGTATGAGTCATTGCTCTGGTTTTTAGCTCCTGACTGGTTAGCTCAGATCACAAGAAGGGGAGGACAGGCTGCAAGTGTCCATATGCATTTTGTTTGAAATGTTCGTTTAAAGCACTTAGAGGATCAGGGCAGCATTATTTTAAGCACAAGGTGAAATAGCTACAATAAAGAGATATAAAATAGACCCTGCCCCAAATAACTGACCAATTGCCTTCCTCGGGCTCTGCAGCCTTCAAATGCTCAGAGATTTATCATGTGTACCCTATATTGTTGCACAACTACACTCTCATAATGTCTCTTCGTAAGGCCTCCAACCATCCAGGAACTTTTGCTGCTCTTGCACGTATTTCCTCTGGTCTGACTGCACCCTTCTATTAATGCAGTGTCCAAGAACTAATGCCATTTTCCAGCTGTGGTCTCACCAGAGCCCCACAACTCTCTCCTCTGTGACCCAGAGCCGTTCCACTGCCTTTGTGT